TTTTTTTTTTTTTTTTTTTTTACTCATGAACCAGAGAGTAACATTTGATCTCAGTTTGACTCCTGAAATAGGTCACTGTCTGGTTGGGGAGCAGAGATACGCAGAGATGATGCGTCTGCTTGGAGATCAGCTTCTTGTGGCCAAAGGAGAACAGATAGGAAAGCATAAATCAAATTAAATACCCTTGTCCCTACTGTGGTTGAAATGGGCTCCTGTGGTATCCAGGGACAGCAGAGGGTTTGGAAAGAAAGGTTGCATTGTGATAGTATTTTTCCCTTTGTGGGTTGCTCAGAATCTCACATGGGAAGACGAGGAACAGCTCCGAGCACAGACTAATTGGGATGAATCAGTGTTTCTAATTCCACACAGGACAGTCTCTGTGAGAACCAGAGAGGTTTGCATCAAAACACAGAGTGCTGGTTAGGAAACACTGGTGGTTGTTTCAAGGGGAGTGAGAGTAAATAACGCACACAAACAGACCAAGTCTGGACTCTCACTGAAGAGAATGACATTAAAATTACCTGATCTCCTGCTCTTTCTGTTTTATAAACTAGAATACCTTGAGGGACGAAGCAGAGAGTGAAGATTGCAGCGTGGAAGGCGTCCTCAACTTCTGATTCTGTTAAAGGCGTGATGCGTGGACATGAAAATTTGCAGGCTGTGAGATGACAAGTTCAGCACCGCTGTTTCTAGAAGATACATGAGTCAAAAATTATTAAAACAAATGAGCAAACAAAACAAACAAACAAACAAACAAACTGGACACACACAAGCCCTTAGATCCTGATGGGTTGCTCCCACAAGAGCTCACCAATGTCATTGTGAGGCCACTCTGAATTATTTTTGAAAAGTCGTGGCAATGAGCAGAGGTTCCTGAGGACCGGAAGAGCAAATGTTACCTCAATTTTCAGGAAGGGCAAGAAGGACCTTCTGGGGAACTACAGGCCAACCAGCCTCACCTTAATCCCTGCAAAAGTGAGGGAGCAATTAATCCTGAAAATTATTTGCAGACATAAAAAGGAATAGAAGGTGATTAGGAATAGTCAGGCACAGATTGGCAAAGGGGAAACCTCCTGTGATGAGATGACCAGCTTGGTAGACGAGGGAAAATCAGTGGCTACTCTTTAGCTTTACTTCAATAAAGCATTTGACAGTGTCCCCCACAACATCCTGGGACCCAGTCACCAGTGGTGTGCCCCAGGAATTGCTGTCAGGGTCAATTAGTTTGATTTCTTTCTTATATCTGTATTGGAAATAATAAATTATCATAAATCCTGTTTTACTTTCAACTGCAATAATCCCCATGAAGATTGAGTGGATCACAGACTGAATGAATATACCCTATCCAACGAAATCCATATTGCAGGTATTATTACACTCCAGATGAAAATTTTCTCCTCAGCTTTGAGAAGCAGAGGGATTTCTTTTTATATTTTCATGAGCCAGAGAGGGTTCTATGTACTTCAACTGTTTTGCTCCTTCTGAACTGCTCTAAAAAAGAAAAGTTGAAGCAAAAAAATGTAGAGAAAGTGATTGTAAAACAACACTGTGGGATTTTTTTTCTGTCAGTGTAAACTCACAGGAGAAGAAAACAATTTTCACTATTTGCCCTTGCAGTAAACCCAACCTGAGCTGCAGTAATCAGACTGATATTTTATATCTATCCTACCATGGGAAACAATACTAAAAAGTGTTGAATTGCAGTGTAGTTTGCTTGGGTTTTTAGCAGTAATTTCAGTTCTTTTGTAGTTCTGAGGGGCTCATAGTCTGGGTGCTTAGGGAAAAATAAGAAGTGAGGCAAACGGAGAGTAGAGGTGAACCACAGTTTTGTGTTTGTGGGAATGCCTGCCTGGCCTTCTGAAGTCAGGGACAGATGGAAACCTCCTGCAGCACCACAGGGGTTTAGGAGAACTCAGACTTCAGTCACTCACTCACCTATCTGTGGTGCTCTGACAGCTGTAGCATTTTCCTTGCAAAATTGTGAAGGGGAGATGTCTCATTACCCTGAGTGTTCTGTGGCTTCACTCCTGTGCCTGAGGATTAAGGAGGCTTCTTTCAGTTCTAGTTAAAAAAAAATAGGGATTTTTTTTTTTTCCTAGTTCCTGCTGCATCAGTGAGTGCCCTGTCCCACCTAAACATGAGAGAGCTGTTTTGATGGTTGGAAAAAACAGTAATCCTTCCTGGGTGTCTCTCAGAAGGCTCTGAGGGCAGGTAACTAGCAAAAAAAAAAAAAAAAAAAAAAAAAAAAGTAGACAGAAAAAGGTCCCTTATCATGCAGATAGGTGAGCAGGTGCTGGTCTGACTGTTCCATGTTTGCTGGAGGAGGAAGCAGCTGAGATGCAGAAGGTGGCTGAGAGCTGGACCAGATGCACAGAGAGCCTGCAGCTGTGCAAACAACACCTACCTGTGTCCACTGCCTTTCAGGAGCACAGCCTGCACAGACACACAAACCCTTTGACTCCCAGCTCCAGCCCAGCCAGGACGTGGTTCTGTTTGCGTTTGGTGTCAGCAGAGGATCCGTGGGCTTAGACCCATCTGCAGAATCTGAAGGTCTAGGCCCTCGTAAATAAAAACTGAATCTGCTCCTAGGATGGTTTTGTGTAGCTCTTTCTGGCTTTCCATCTTAAAACAGGCTGTACATTCTGTGCTAAGAAGCTCCACGGTGCAGGTTATGCAGCTGAAGCCGACAGTCTCTGCCTGACAGGGACAGGGATTTTTCTGTATCTGCATCAGAAAGTGTCACAAACTTCAGAAAGTGCAGTTCTTGCCTGACCCTTTCCTGGCACCACTTGTGTGAATCCCACTGCCAAGGGATTGTTTGCCTGCGTGACAGACCAGCCATCTGCCCAACCCTGCGCTGGTGCAAATCCTGAATAATTCCAGTGACTTCAGCAGAGTCGCTCAGGAGAGACACACGGAGTTGAGGTCAGGATCTGTTCCCCTTAATTAAATAAATAAAGGTTAAGTATCCTGCAAGATCCATTTTCCAGTGGCCTTAACCTTGTCTTTGCTGGTGACCTCCTTATTTATTTATTTACTTATTTTCCAACCGAGCTTTTCATGGCCATTGACATAAATTTTCCAGCTTATTAATACGGAACATCTGTGGTCCCTATGCAGTGTCCTCTATAGGTCATGGGAAAGCTTTATCTTACTAATGAGCTCCATTCCTCTATATATTCAAGCCCAATTGACGGGGCCAAGTGTGTTTATAAATAAATATTGTCTTGTAATGACCATTTCCATATGTCCCAGAGGAATAGAGATTTCGTCCTTTGGAACTGGCCAGCTGCCTCCTTTGTAACAGTGAGAACAGTTTTCCCCTGTCTTGGGTAACGTTTGATTTATGTGGAAATGAACTCCCCAAGGTGACAGGCCAGCCATGCTCAAGAATTCGCTGCTCCCAACTAGCCTTAAAAGTCAGGGAAGTTTCTTCCTCCACCCACCCACCATTTTTCTCTTCATCATTCCTGTTTATTGAATATCTCTATTTGTCCCTGACCAGCTCTGCCTGTCCCCCAACAGGGACAAAAGCACGAGGAAGGCAAATGAGTTTCACTGGGGTGCTACCCCATACCTTGCACTGATGTAGGACGTTGCTAAGTTATGGAACAATACGTTTGCTGGGAAATTCAGAACGTGGATTGCAAAAATATCTGGTGAAGGATTGGCTCTTATTACTGATGAGTGCAACCAGAAATATGCTGCAATATGCCTTGCCTTCTGCAGGAGGCATGATCCAATAGTTCCTTATCACTGAAGGATGACATACTGTCCCAGTGGCTTATTTCTTAATATTGTTCTACCAGAGAGAACATGTTGCATTTCTCCCACGAGTCTTCATCTGCTCTGAATCCTCTTCCATCCAGGCAGTGGTGCAGAGGAGGTCAGAATCCATCTTTTAAAGGCTTTCAGAAGAAATCCATTGCAGTTTTTAGAAGATCAACATACAGGACTGATGTGGCATCTCTGTTAATCTTCACTGCTTAAAGTGTTCCTTGAGCTACATGCACACGTGTGTTTATGTAGATATATACACACAGACTAAAGAATGTTTATTCTAATTTTCCACTCTCCCAAACCTTTGGACTGTGTGGAAAGGAGTGAATATCCATAGATATCTATACTTTGTGGGTTTCTTGTTAAGCCAGTCTGATAAACAGCCTCCAGGTTTGGCCAACAATGAGAATTGATTCCTATGGCTGTATTTTCATCCTATAGTCTGTCAGAAATAGTTTGGCTGCTTCATTTGCTGACATAAACATATTTCCAGCAAGATTTGGCATGAATCTAATGCAAGATGACACGAAGAGAAAGACTAATGTAAAGTATCTCTGTCTCAGCTTCTGTGATTCCTTGATTTCAGAGAGAAACAGAAGTATGAAAAGTTTCCCAGTAGTGTCTTACCATGACATTAAAACATCTTCAGTCATATTTCAGGCCACAAATATTTAAGAATGCAGGAGCTCCAGGCTGACACTGAGCTGCCCACATAAGGACAAGAAACGGAGGTGATGGTCAAAAGAAAAGAGGGGGTGTGCATGTGTATGTGTGGGTAACCAAAACATAGGACTAAACTGAGGAAAGAAAAGCAATTTTCCAAAACTTCACTTTATTATACGGTAAAAAAAAAAAAAAAAGTAATCAAAGAATTATCTTTCTCCTCAGCACGGTGGGTTTTAACTCTCAGTAAAGAAAGGCTATATCAAAACAGGACATCAGTTTTGGGTGTCTTGGTGTTTCTCCATTTTGGTGCCAAACCCAGTTTCAGCTGACGCACGAAGGACCAGACAGAGCCTCCCTTTCCTGTACTCTGGGACATGTTCCACGGGAGAATTCAGTAGTAAACCAACTCCTGTTAATTATCACAACCTTATCACATTTTCCAATGTCTTTCACACAGTACAGCACTGTATGTTAGAAGGGGATGTGTGCACTGTGGCCTGGTTTTGATGCCGATGAGTCTTCACCTTGCAATCCTGGCTCTTCTGCTTAAAATAGCAGAGACAAATCCATCTCACCAGGAAAATAACACAAAATACCGTTTGTGGGTATTTAATTTTGCTATTATGAACTAGAAAAAAAAAAAAAAAACACCAAACAAAACAACCAAAAGCAGCCAAAGCAGCTGAATTGATCTATCACTACTGGGATCTGCTGGTTTTTTGTTTGTTATGTAAACTGCGTGATGGCCTCGCTTCCTGACGGTGGGAAAAATCTCCTGAGAAGAAACGTGTCTTTCGCTTCCTCTGGGAATGCTCAGTACCCTGGAGATTCTTCTTGCTTGACATTTCGTTTCTCAAGTGACTACTGGACCTTTGCTCAGAGGAGATAAGTAATTTTTCTTTCCCTGACTACAAGCAGTACATGCAATTATGTAATTTTAGGGCTCTTATGCTTAAGGCTAAACTGGTTTATGGCAGTGGATACACAGGGGTTTGTCCTCCCAGGGCCTTACTGAGCAAGACTGATCTGGGCTGGCTATATGGCAACATGGCAAGCTCAGGAAACCCCAGCTCATTTACTGGGCCGCTGTCCATCCCTGCTCTCATACCTTGCCCCACAAGGAATTTGGGGGCCAGAGCCAACAGGCTGTGCAAAACAGGGCATAAGGTGCCAGTGGTGATTTGAACCTGCTGTAATTATGATGCATTTAATATGTCGCTGAACCAGCAACAAACTCTGCTCTGTTTATAAGATGAAAGCAGATATTTGTTCTATCTTCTGGAAATGCAGCATAGTTCGTGTGAAAAATGGTTGTAAAATATGTTAGGGTTGCCTCTGGAAAACCTGAAGTCCAGGTTCAGATTATGTTCAGATCATGTCAGAACAAACAGCAAAGTTTAACTAAACTGAACCTCTTTTTTCTACCTGATAGTGCTTTCAGATATGAGCTGCTTGCATTCACAGCATTTGGAAGGTTCAGAGGAAAGACAGGTCTAATAGTTGATCCAAACAGCCTATCTAAATTTATTTCCATCATACAGTTTTCACAAGTGGCGTCCCAAACAGCACCAGTCTACCCTGCAGTGTCTGGAGTTCTGTCTCTATACAAAAGAAGACAATTCTTTCAAAACCATGAGGTATAAAATAGGGAACCCCAAATCCTGCTCTCTTACTCTCTTTTTTCATTATTCCTTGAGATCCTGTTGCTACATAACCCTCCTCTTTATTTCCATCAGAAAGCTGTGAAATGGAAGCACCTTGCTGCCATATGGAAAGAAAGATGTCAGGACCTTCCTGCCATTTCCTTCGCATTGAAATGGCTAAACAGAGATGCTGCTGGTTGTAAGTTTAGAATTAAGAAGATCCCTGGGACTGGAAGGCACACACCCACGCTGCTTGGAAAGGGCTGCTTCAGGATTGGGAAAACTCCCCTGCTAGACAGATTTATGCTCTGGAGATCCTGCTACTTTTCCCTTGGAGCGCTTTTCCTGCCCGGGCTCTTCAGTGTATATTTAACTGCAGAGGCTTCCTTGAGAATGCTCCTAATTTGGAGGGGGCTTAAAACAAGTGTACAGGGATTGCTGAACTGTTCAGGATTTCAGAGCTGCTAAGGTGTTTCATGGAATTCACAGACTGGTTTGGGTTGGAAGGGACCTTAAAGACCATCCAGTTCCAACCCCCTGCCATGGGCCTGGACTCCTTCCACTTGACCAGGTTGCTTAGATTCCCACACAGCCTGCCTATATTTGTGTATAACAGCATTCCCAGTGTTTTAATTACGTTATACTTATTCATATTAGCAGCCAGTACTCTATAATTCACACTCTATTAGGTACCTATGTCTTAACATGTCATTCCAAGCACAATAACTGGAATCCAGCACTCGCAGATCCCCCTTTCAAAAGTCTTTGACCTGAAATAAACCATGGACAAAGTTTATTTGTTCTACCAAAAAGAATAGTAAGAAATGTTTTTAAAACTGAACAGCTGGCATTCACTTCTTCTTTCTTTAAAAGCCAGCCATGCCTTGACTTCTTCAGTGCATTCACAGTGAGTCTGGTTCCCTGGAGGAGCTGCCTTCTCCTCCCTTGGATGATGTGTTCCTACAAGCCTCCCATCTCCAGTATCTCTGGTCTGCTCCTTGCCCTGTCACTGTCTCCTTACAACACTCCCTGTGTGTTGAAGGTGGCCTGTGCTGCCATTCTTGTTTTTCCTTTTTTTTTGCCCAGCAGCCCTTTGTTGAGCTGATTCACTGCAGTGGCCCAGCCAACACCGTAGGAACTGTTCCAGCGTTCACTATCCAGAGAGAATCCAGGTTGTCCACGCTCAGTCAGAGGACACAAGGGACCATTCCTGCTCAGAGCGGGCGTGCGAGACCCCCACATGCAACAATCAGCAGGAAGAAAAGCAAAACCCATGGAAGGGAAGCAGGAATCTGCTTTGCCTTTGACAGTCCTTTGAACTGTGCTCTGGCAGCTCCCAGCAAGCCTTCCCCGGGGGGAAATCAGGCACATGTGCTTTTGAGAGCAAGATCCAGGGCTGATCCTTGCTGCTGCTGCTGCTGTGAAGTTCACATGGCCACGGCATTCGACCCAGCTGGAAGAGAGCCCCTGGCTGATGTGACAGGGCAGCACGTAGCTGTGTGGTCGTGCTGAATTAGGGGACTTACATGCATGTCCCTCACGGCGTGTGCCTGTAAAAACCCAGAGCTCTGGGTGAAACCATTTTGTAATGAGTGTTTCACCCCTTGGAAGGTACATTTTTCCCCTCCTCTGTGTGTGTGCACTGTGGCTGCTGCTGTTGGGCAGATGTGTCTGTGTGTATGGCAGTTTTACTGAGCTGAAATGCCACAGCCTCTTGGTGATTTCATGCCCCACATTATTAGGGGCAAGCTTTTCAAAGGCAGATCTGAAATCTGTTTCTACTAAGAAACTAATTCTATTTCCCCTCAAAAAAAAAAAAATTCAGTAACAAGACATCAATAATTTTTCCATGTATATTTGCACTTGCCCACTTGTACCTGCCCACATTTTCCCATTGCAGTTTATTTCCCTCGTGTCAGGCTCCAAATGACATCCCTGAAGCACCCAGGTAAAATGCCTGGAAATCCTAATGTGGAAAAAAAGAGAAGTTTCACTTTGTAACTATCCTACCCCGTTTCCTGGGCAGATGGCACAGGGACATGTGCCAGCCTTTCTCCAGCCCTGCATGTACCCATGTCAATCAAGCTGAAAACTTCAAAATTGGACAATGATCATGTGAAACTCCCTGAGACACTTGACAGAAATCTAAACCATCACGTTGCAAAGAGTCCCAAACAAAAATCGGCCTCCAAACCAGTGCTTCTCCTGTGACATCATGTCACATTAATAACTGCTAGGTTGACCTAATAAGGATGAAAATTCCCACTTCACAGCCTGTTCTCCCAGATTAAAAAAAAAAAAAAAAAAAAAAAGCGCATCTTCTGCTGTGTTGGACCTTTCTTAATGCCTGCCACAACAGATGGAGCTGGTAGCTGCTTATTTGAGGCCCTGGGTGGGAGAGAAGTCCATCACAGTGATTGTCTTTCACTTTTTAAAGCTCATGATGGGGTCTCCTAGACAGAAGGATTCATGATAAATATAGAATTTAAGTGTGTGTGTGTGTGTGTGTGTGGCCAAAGACCAAGCTATAAGTGTAATTTTTTAGCTGGAAAACCAAAGTAAAAATAACCTGGAGAATCCCTGCTGTGGAATCTGGCAGTGCAAACACTCGACTCTTCATATAGATTTATGTATTTATATTTGTATTTATGTAAACATCAAGTTGAACAAACTTTCCTCCTTTGATTGCGTAATGTACCCAAGAAGAATTCAAATTTAAGGTGTTTACTGATGAATTAATGCTCCTGTGCTTGGGGTGGAATAGGAAAGAATGTATTCACATACACAGATGTATGATGTTGGAAAACCAGGAGTTATCCCCAGTTGCTTGCTGAGTGATATGCAGTGAGTTGCAAACCCTTAAAATGATATTTCTGCTCTGTGGACACCAATAGCAGCCTCCTGGTGAGTGAGTGTTCAGATATTGACATCTGAAATTAGAAAGATAACGGTTGACTTAGTTTAACTGTTGAATTATTGTGCTTGTACATGTCTGTGTATGGTTTCACTCTGAACATATCCATCAGTAAAGTTTCTGGCGCCTCTGCTTTGAAAACTGTTCCACCTAGCATTCAGTACAAGGACAAGAAATCTTCGTTTTAACCATCTGAACTTCTAATTTCTCTCGTTTTGGGCCTTTTCTCTAGTGATTGATCTGACTGGAGTGCATTAGCCCTGGACATTCTCCAGCTCCCTCTGGAAGCAATGTACAACATTGCCCTTTGCATTTTAAACGCAGGATTTTCCATTACTTATAAACAGAAGTGGTTTTAAACTATTGTGAGGAAATATTTCAGGGGGTTGTATATGATCTGGATTGTACTGTTTCCAAGTTTAACTAAACAGGGGTGAAACATTTATCAGGACTGAAGCAAGGGGAAAAAAACCCAAAATACAGAAGATGGCCCATTTTGCCTGACACTAGTGGCTCCACTGGATTTCTGTTTTTTTTAAATCCCTGAAAAAGGACACACTGGAAAGCTTGGCCTCAGTCACACAGTCTATGACAAACCTTCACAGAAACATGATGGAATATCACAAGCCATTTTGTTATGGTTGATCAAACCACAAACTTGCTCTCTTGCTCACTGAGTGTTACTTTTCATCTCTAACCAGAGTATGTGAATTGATATTTGAACAGATTATTGTCCTTTAAGAAAACACCCACCACTGATAACATGCTTAATACCAATATAAACTCATGTTAAAGACACTCATGTCTTCAAAATTAGGTTAAACTTAATATTTCAAGAAGAACATTCAGACTTGTGTTCCATTTTACTTTTCATGTGGATTTACGGACAGTACAAAGAGAGAGAGAGATTCAGTTCAGAAATTGTATTACTCTCTTAATTTAACACAAAATATTTAAAGAATGCAATGGGATTTTGTATGTGGAAAAAAATAGCCCCATCACAAACAATTTAAGCTGATCAGCCAGGAATAGTATCTGTTTATAGTGTGATTTAAAACACTAGCTAAGGCCGAGTAGGCAACATTTATTAGCATTTGATGTGTTTTTGAAAAGCTGTGAGATGAAAAGCTGACCACCCAAGGGGCTCACAGTTGTCACTTGCCCTCACTCAAACTCAGCAGAGTTTCTCTCACAGGGTGTTGCAACCCTTCGGTTTTTCTCCGTGTCCTGACCTTGACTGAATCCGAAAACCGTGACAGTCAGCGGGATCAGCCCCTTTTGGACAGACCAACCCAGATCACCCACAATCAAAGACCCAACATCAAAAAACACGCCCTGAGGGATAACGAGGCCAGGCCACGGAAGGATGCAATTAATTTTCATGGCTATTGAGGTTACAAAAAGACAAAAAGGCACTTGAGGAAAGTGATGAGCAGTGATGTTCCCTGGATGAGGAAGACACCGAGCCCCAAACTGCAACAGCCCTTTGCAGTCACTCCAGTGCCAACCCTCCCTTCAGTGGTCTCTGCAGCAGACCTCAGACCATGAAACCAAGGAATATAATTTCCCTTTGGCCCACACAGAAACTGGCTTTCTCATCCTTGCGACAAAGCCGAAGTTTCACAACAATAGAAAACCAAGTAAACTCCTGTAATGATAAGATACCCTGATTTTAACAAATTATCCCCAGGGACATTTGTCAATACTGTTTGAAGGAGCCACAGTTAGCACTGAAATGCATTTGTAAAAATAAACCAGCAATTTGGGTATGCTTAACTCTACTGGGGCTCTTTTTCCCTCTCCTGTTTGTTTGCTCCCTCGGTGAGAGATTAATTTAAGACTCAGAGGAAGGCTTTCCCTTGACCAAAACTCATCAACTCTCCCTATCCATAAATTTGGAGGGCAGCAGGGACCATTAGATCATCCCATAACATCCTGCACAGCTATTCCTGCCCTGGGCCCAGGAAAGTGTGTTGAGATTAACACATATCCTGCAGAAAATTCCAACATGTTTGTGTGTAGGAGTAATGTCTCCAGATGGATCAGCTCTCCTTTGGAGTAAAAAAGAAAAAGTGCTAAACCTTTGTTAAAGGTGCAGAGAGTATCTATCACTCTTTTGTTTGTCCCTTTGAATTTTATTATCTAAATGTTAAAATAATTGGTAAAAATAATTGGCAAAAATAACTAAAGTATGGACAGTATTTTCCCTGAATGCATATTTTTTCTCTTTCTTACATTGTACTGTGTCCTGATGATCCCAGAATATTGCCTTCACTGATGACCAATAACTCAGTAGTGTTCTGAGAGTCTTCAGCCAGAAACCCACTAAATACTTAGTATTTTAAAATATTTCTTTTAATCCAAGCTCTTTGGTGATGTGTCCTGACTGTGAGTGCCTCAATCTCTGTGGCTGTTTCTGTTGGACCGCACTGATCTTGTCTCTGCAGGCCTAATCTCTCTTCACTGTCCAATAAGGGAATGTGAGAGCATTTTTTATCTTTACTGTCCAGTTATCACATGAGAAATCTTTTTTTTTTTAAGTTCAAAGAACCCTTAAGGGAAAAATAGGAAACATACTTCAGGGAGATAGGGCTGAGAAGCATTATTAATATGCTAGGGGTACTAGAAACTCTTGTCTATCAGCTTAGATTAGTCTGGATATGATGTAAACACAAATACACGGGGAGAAGTATTTTAATGTAGAGCATTTGGGATTGAAAAAGTTAACTCTCACCTGACTACACAAGCAACCCAAACCAGGAAATTTGGGCTGGAGAGATGGGAATCTGCAGCCTCATTTTGCATTCAGGAGTTTTTTAGGGCATATCAAGAGTTTAGTAGGGCGTGATTTATCGCTTGATGATGCCTTCCAAACCACCACCAGTGTTGTGAAAATGTCAGGCTCCGCAGAGAACATTTGTCAAAATAAGGAGAGCTTTGTTCCTTTCATCACACAATATCTAATGTTTTGGGTTTTTTTCTCCAGTCAAAGTTCCTTTCTGGTCTCAGACTAACTACTTTTGCAGCTTGCAGCCATAAGCATTTGCTAGCAGTGATCACTGGAGGGCTTGGAAACTGGCTTCACAAAATCTCTAGTTTGTGAAGGAGGAAAAGCTACGGAGAATGAGCAATGGGGAGAGGGCTTTTTTTTTGCAGTCAGAAAGGATGGTTTGTCCATGCTGCTTTCCAGGTGGAAAAGCCAAAGCATGATTCCTGGCCTGAACTTCACGCAGATAAGGCACGTGCTTAGTGAAACACATTCAGGGTGGCTGCGAGGCAAGCCGAGTCCTGGGCCCCCGAAATGACCCCTTGACCTGAAGTAACATTGGCTTTGGGGCAAAGACCTATTGCATACAGGAGGTATTAACTAAATCTGACTCTCTTAACTAATTCTGACTCTCTTGCTGCCCTGAGTATCCCAAAAAGCTTGGGTTAACCCTTCTGGGGATGGGACCAAGCTGTTATATTGGCAGGGGCAAACAGCTGTGCCCGTGAAGCAACAGTCCAGGGAGGGCATTGTTTGACAAGGCCACAGTGATGCCAGGGGTAATGCAGAGCTTTGGGGTGGTTTAGTGGTTTTGGGGGTTGATATGCAGAGCAGGATTCACTGGAAGAGAGGTGCTTTGAGTGGACAGGAGTGCCGTAGTTATCACAGGATAGATGGGGTTGGAAGGGACCTTTTAAGATCATCCAAACCCCCAGGGTTGTCTTCAGTGAGATCAGGTTGCTCAAAGCCTCGTCCAACCTGACCTTGAATGTTTCCAGGGATGGGGCATCCACCCCCTCTCAGGGCAGTCTGTGCTAACAGGACACCAGTGGCTGTCTGAGCAGCTCTTGGGACCAGACAGGAGATCTCAGGGCTCCCAAAACACATTCAGTTATTGCTCATTGGGTCATGACCCCACTTCCATTAAACTTTTAATGGTTAGGTGCCTATCCTGCTTGTATTTCAGCAGCCGTTGGGCTTGAAGAGCAACCTGCTGCCCCCATCCTTCTCAGGGTGCACGCTGTCGAGGTCCTGCTTCTGTCCCTGGCTCACACGAAATGTTTCAAAAGAGAGCACAAGAAATCCTGAAGGTGACAGCCATGGAATGACCTGCCAACAGGAAAAAGTTTCCTCCAAATCCTATTACTCAGAGGTTGGCTGAGACCCTGGAGCATTAATCTTGATATCCCCTGTAAGCACTGTCTGTGTTTGTTTGCTCTCTGCATCCCCAGCATGTTAACTCTGAATCTTCTGGGCCTCCAAAAAGAGGACCAAGGGCCTCACTGCCATTTTTTCCATCTGAAGCAGAGAACTTCCTTAAGTCAAAGCTAGAAAGAAAAGAATAAACTGTAGTCTCAAACATTATACCTGTCCTGGAAGGACTTTGCAACTACTTTTCTATGCTTAGAAAATGCTCTTCAGTGACATCTCCCTGGTAGACTGTTCAGAGCGCCAAAGCAAATTAAACACCCAGAATAAGCAACGTCAAGTGATGCAGTTCCAGTTACATCACATTGCAGGGGGATGGGAATGGTAGGGACACAAATAAGTGTGAAGGAATCATGCTTATATTATATGCTATTGCTACTAATTTCCTAAATTATTATCAGTGAGAGAGACAGATGGTTAAACATTGATATGAACTGTGAGCAGTATTTGTTTGAAATCTCATCTGCCATTCTTAACTTGGCAGTTTATGTTAAACACAGAAAACTTCAAATTTAAAATAGAGCCCCTTTCTGATAAAGTTGCCAGGGAGAATAAATAATTAAACATACTGAGCTGAGGTCCTGCCAGCTCATCCCCTCTCAGCAGGCACAATATTGCAAAGCTGTGTCTGAAACGTGTCCTTTCAGTGAGGAATGCAGCTCTCAGGCCCAAAACCTCTTCCCTACTCCACAGCTGGCTGCTTCTGCCACTGGCCTCTTCCAGGCCTGCAAAACTTGCTCAAAAAAAGGGGATTTGCAATAAAGGATTTTCTGCACAGAGCAGGAGCACAGCATATGTGAACATGACACTTATGACACTTGTGTAGCTGATCAGCATCCTGGCACAGGATTGGGGTGTCTTAGTGTTGTCTCAAAACACCAATATCCCTATAACAGTCTGACAAGAAACAGTTAGGTGTGAAGCAGAGAGGTGAAAATGAAATAGAGAATGTATTTAAGGGGAAAATGAGAAAATGGTTGTGGGTAAAAAAAAAACACCTCATCTGAAATACTGGCAGAATACTGAGATAATATATAATTATTACTCAAAAAGACTGTGGAAAAGGCTGGAGTATGAGGACTAAGAGTAGAGAAGAATGAATGGAGAATACAAAGGAAAAGAGGAAAGAAATAGGGAAAAATCAGAGACGGAAGAAATCATAATTGTCACCTTTTTTTATTATTATTATTTTGTAGAAAATCTGCTTTTGTACAGCATCTGACTTAGCCATGTATCAAACAGACAACCTCAAAGAAATTCACAGCCCTGGAAATGGAGACCAGAGACAAATTGTATGTGCTTTGCTCTGACTCTTCTTGGAAGCTGCAGATGTTCATTGTTTGGACACAAAACGGGCAGATTAATATCTCCAGATGTTCACCATCCATTCTTCCAGAACATTAGTGGGCAGGCCAGGGAATGGATGCTTTTAGCAGAAACTTCAGTTTATGCTACTGCTTCAGACAGAAGTAATTTGTCAGAGCTGATGTTCTGGAGAGCACCTGCTCCAAAAGCAGGGAGTCTACACAGAGCAATGTCCTTCCCTGCCACCACCCAACACTACATGGAGCCTAAAAACCATCCACGCAACTGCTGATGAACCGGCTTCCAAAGAGAACGAGAATCCAGCATTGTTTCTGACTATTTTACCTGACAGGAATAAGCAAATATTTAAAATTGCTGAAGTTTTTAAGTGGCTGAGTGGCTTGGACAGTCAATACAAGGAGAGAACTTCTCTTGAGCCACAGACATAGCACTGTTTTTTAAAGAAATTTAAATGTGAATTTGTCCATAATTGTGCTTCTTATTCACAGAGGAAAAAAAAGCAGGTATCAATTTAGCATTACCAAATGTGATACAACTAATTGTCATATATTTATGTATTCTTGGAGAAAAACATGTGATGACATTTTTGGTAACAAATGCCCATTTTAATTTGAAGAGCAAAGCTGTTTACCACCAATTCTCAGTGCCAGGTTATATAAGAACACAAGTGAGATGCTGCTGGGAAAAAAAAAAAAAGTAATTCAGCAGCAGCAGCACCCAAGTACCCCTGAAAATTATTCGGATAGTTTTGAAAATACTTCTTCTAATATTACTGGCATGGTTCCCTCATGTTCCCATTCATGAATTCCCACTGGCGAAAATGCAACCTTCTGCTGGAGCAAACAGACTCAATCTTGTGAAAAGTACTGTAAGTTAAGGAAGTACATGGCTTGTCTTCCATGTATGAATCTATAAGAGGAAACAAAACAGGATTTGGTCTTCCACCGACACGAAGAGGATGTTAGAGGGGCATTTGATTTTTCCAGCTTGAATAATTTCAGTGAAACAGATGCTCAGGTGGCAGCCAGGAGGACTGGAGTTTCTCAGCTTGGGCTACAGCTACACTAAGACGTGTGTTGTCCTGCAGCCGAGTATCTCCTTGCTGTTCCATTGGTTTTCCTGCCAGTGCTGCCCCGAGTGGCACCAGTTTTCCCGTTGGGTGGACAGGTCACTTCACCTGAATGGGCTCTCAAAATGCCCTTGCTACAAACCAAGGAAAAGAAAAAGCCCGGAAAACGAAGGTAAAATAGTGGCTCTCCTCCAGTGAAATCACTGAGGAATTTGGCTACTCCTTTCAAGGAATTCACACCAAAAACAAGATCCTCATCCAAATACCTTGCACAGAATCTGTGGGAGCTGTTGTATTGTTGCAGAAGTTTGGTAAAAGCACTCACTTCTGACTGCAGGTGGGTAACCCACTTACACAGGAAAACCCCACACCTTGTGACACCCAGCAGAAGACAAGAAAGAGACCCCTGACAGGAAAAATAAGATTAAAAAAAATTTAGCGTGCCATTAAAAGAGGAATAAATACACATTATATTACATGGGTGAACTGTGCTTTCTTTAGTGTACGTGCCATTTTTTTATTACTTCATACACTAAGTGCTAAAGTGGTTTCTTATGCCATTAGGTGGTGCTTTCAGTAAGCAATGGAATAACTAGTTCTTGCACGGTTCTCTTCTGCATCGTGTTCTCGTTTTCTGAAGTAAAAGGAAATTTAAGCAAAGCCACCACAGGTGTCTCCTCCTCCCAAAGCCTCACACCAAGCTGTGCATCACGTTTCCGAGGCGCTCTGGCTGCCCTCGGGCGTGATGAACTGCACTTTGGGCACGATGAGGGAGGAGTTGGTTCTCCGCATGGAGTTGCTCCTCCGGATGGAGTTGTTCCTCCTCATGGAGTTGCGCTTCCGCAGGGAGTTCTGGTGGGACAGCTCGCTCTTCTGCAGGGTCTGGATGAGGATGGAGGGCTTCTCGTCGAGCTCCCGAGCGCTGCAACGCGGCGCCGCCACCTTGACGGTGTTGCCGAACTTGGAGTAGTCGACCGCGTACACGCCTTCCTCCTCGGTGACGATGGGCACGAAGCGGTGGCCCCACAGGATCTCCTCGGCCACGTAGGAGGTCCTGGCCTGCGTCGTGATGCCTGTCGTTTCCACGACCCCCTCAAGTATCACGATGAGCTCCAGGTCCTGGAGCGCCAGGTCGGCGGCGGAGATGTCGTAGAGAGGGCTCCGCTTGTCGATGACGTGACAAATGATCAAGGGGGCCACCAGGAAAATGTTGTTGCTTTCGATGGGGTTGTCCACGGGGATGTCTACCTGGTGGATGGGTATGACTTCCCCTTCAGGGGTCGTGGTCTTCCTCACGACCTGGATTCTCACCGAGGCGCTGATGATCATGCTCTTCCTGAGGTCTCCCACTCGGAACATGAAGCAGAGTTTGCCGTTGCGGACGGCGATGACGGCCTGCCGGCTGAAAATCAGGGTCTCGGCCCGCCTGTGGGCCTGCGCTGTTTTCATGAATATGCAGCCCAGCATGACAGCGTTGATGATCAGGCCCACAATGTTCTGCAGGATCAGCACCGTGATGGCCAAGGGACACTCCTCTGTCATCATCCTGCCCCCGAAACCAATGGTCACCTGGACTTCAATGGAGAAGAGGAAAGCGGAGGTGAAAGACCTGTAGGGGAAGATTGCACCAAGTTAACTCCCAGGACACAGGAACACAAGCTGGGAAAATATTCGCATGTACTTTGTAGAAAGAAACTTAAGGACCTGTTTGTACAGTTCTGGCACACTTAAGCCTTCTGTTAACACCAGAAAAACCACTGTGAGCTTGCTGACTCTGGTTTTGCGTGGTTGGTGTGGTATCTGATGGTGGCAGGGAAACCCCAGAGCCTGAGCCCCTAAAAGACCGTCTGTAACATGAGGCGACCCCGAGTAGCTCATGGAACACATCCTGCCCTCTCTGTCAGTCAACAGCTCTGTAACACCTGGGATTTCCACCTCCTCCATCCCATGAAGCTCTTGGTGGAGAGAGGTGGCTTTGGCAGCAGTGAGCAATCAGCTGGCACACCAAGATCCTTCCACCAGCCTGTGCAGGGAAAGGAAACAGGGAAAACTGCGGCCTTTTGTCCATACTACCTGAATCATGACCTGGGATTTCCTGGAGGGAAAGGGGGCACTCCCGGATTCCCAAAACCCTGATTTGTGTCTGAACCTGCAGGATCAGGCTGCAGAGAGAGGCCAGCAGCCTCCACAGTGCCCCCTGCACATCCTGTAACCCAGGGCTTGGGTTTAGCTCACTGCCATGGCAAGACCAGCTGGAAAAATTTCAGCGCAGAAGTGGGTTGTAGAAGTGCGGGTTAAGTTAAATTCCCTAATATTCTACGCTAGACATCAGAAAACCCTGTCCACAAACTTTCCAAAATACATCATTTATAGCAGCCCACAGTGTCATATCCCCTGTATGTATCAGGGTCTTTAATTTCCTTTGACAACCAAAGATAACCTTCAGCAACATCTCATGTGTCTAAAATCTGGTGAGCTTGCAGCATGCTGGGTCTTATATGAGCTAATAACGTAGTCACCTTTTTAACACACTGCAATCCACCAAATCTGAAGCATTGCTATGCTCAACAGGGTTTTACCTGTGGAAAATATATCCTGCCCATGAAGATGGGTCTAAATTATTCTTTGGGTTTGGTTTATTTTTCAATTAATCTGATTTAAAATACTTTTTTCTTTTTTTTTTTTTTTCCCCTGATTGTGTTTTCACTGGGGTCATGAGGAGACATTAAAATAGCATGGGCAGTATCAGGGATAATTTCCTATAGAACGAGAAAGTCCCTCTTTCAGAAAACCAGCCAGTCTCTGCAGAGATATCTTTTAAAAACTCTTCTTTTTACCTTTTCTATTTTTTAAATTTTCAACAAATTCTTTTGTATCGAGGGGGTTTATTTTTGCAATCCACTCTTAAGAAATTGGATACAAAAGAGTTAATTAATATAAATCCATGGAATGATTACTTACGCTCGTGAATATTTATTTACATGCAGAATGAAGCTTCTGGATTAAACTTAATTCAGTTTAATTCAACTTAAGTCTCTGCAGAGTAAATATCCTGCTTTCCCTTAACAATACTCCTTCTTTTAAAAAGAAAAACAAAGTAAAGGAAATCCGTTTTTTACAGTGGATGCAACTGAAACAGCAAGCTTGGAAAGCATTTTGACCATGTGAAAAGGGAGCCAGAAACTCCAAGTCACACTGTTCCCAGGTCCTTTCCCTTAGAGCTGTGTAGCAGTTTTCCTTTTTGGATAATGTTTGCTTTCTGTGGCAGAGCTGTGAGACTTAGAAACTTCTGCAGTACGTGGAAAAATTAAAGTGCTGTGCAAGTCCTGGGCACTGGTCAAAATTTCAAAAGCCAGATTTCCCATAAATCTGTAATGGCACCTACCCAAGAAAGCTCTCCTGAAATATCTGTGGACCTAAACCTCAGGGAAGCAGGTTAAAAATTGTTTGCCATTATTTTGGCATATAATATTAAAGACAATATTAAAGATATTTTGCACCCAGCAACTCTCCATCCTGAAAAATGGCAGCATTCTCATTGTTACTACCCGGCTTTGACCAAAGTGGTAACCAGATTTAACAAGGCCAAGTGTTTCACTATGAGAGGGGAAGATTTTCCATGGCTTGCACATGGACACTCCATCAGCTGCTGGCTGAGCCACCCCAGGTACTGGCATGAGGGAGGGATGTGTGTTCTTTGGCTGAACCAGAAAGTTACACTGATTCGCTCACTCTGTTTTTCCACACGCCTCCTGGCTGTCCTGGCAGGGGACATCCTGGAAAAGCTGCCAGTGTGGGGCTGCAGCAGCCGGGGCTGCAGGGAGGGGATGAGGGGTGGATGTGAGTCCTGGCTGTGGATGGGCCTGATCCCAGCGGCACAACACCCTTGGCACCCTGCTCAGGCTCTGCAGGCTGACCCAGTAGCCCCCCCGTGGGGTGGGCCAAGCTGAGGGGGCTGCCAACCCACAGAGGGATGTCCCCTCAGCTGACCCTGAAGAGCTGGAGGGTTGTAGCTGCTCGCTAGTTCCGGCTGGACCAATCCCACAGATCCCAGAAATGCCGGGGGTAACGCTCCTGCGGGCACAAGCTGGGTCATGGTATCTCATTTCAGAGGAGACTGCTTGTGGCCACACATTGGGAAAGAAATAAAGCAGCGACCCCTGCTCCAACCCCCCCCCCCCAAACCTAATGAAGGTTAGCTCAGAAAAATCCCCATTTCCTTCAGCTTGGAAAATACCCATGTAGCAAAAAAATTGTCAAGACAAAGGGAGAATTAAACCTCTACTCCCTCATGAGCCAGATGATACGATGTCCCTTCAAACTCGGTGAGGTGCCTCAAAACTGTGTCAGAGAAAGGAGAAAAGGGAAGTGGATATTCTGATGTCTCAGAGGACCCTGCAGCTCCCCAGACCCTCACAGCACTGCGATGTGTAAGGGCAGCTGACCTGGGGCAGTCTGGTGGTACCAAACCAGTATTTTTCTCCCTAAAAACCCATATTTAACAGATGCTGAAGCAATCTTCTTGCTCACCCCACCTCCAATTAACAAACAGTCTTCTCTTCCGTGTATGAATATGCCAGTTTATTGGTGCCTTGACAACTGTCATGGGTTT